ACTACGATCTTATACTAACAAAGCTGTAAAGAAAAACAAAAACAATGAAAATTATGAAAACTGGTTTAAAGTCAAATCCTGGAAGAGTGGTTAATTATTCGACCTATTTTATTTAAATATTTATCATTATCACCTTTTCTAAAACATACAATACTTTTTATTTTCTAACATTTTTTTTTTCAGAAAGTGGCTAGATTAAAACGTTAAATGTTTAAAGACATTTTTTCTATAAAAATATCGCGTTTTCCTTGTACATATTCCTATAGTAAAGAAAGTTTTGTCTATAATAAAACGTGAAATACCTTTAGGTCAAACTTTAAACCCTTTTTTTATTACAGATAAAAAATGCATTATGGGCCGTTCGGGTCTAGGGTGTAATTTACCCTAGTGCGTAGGACACTCGCCCACTAAAATCCTATTCGGAAACTTTTATTTTGTGTTTGGAGTATTTCATTTATCACACTGCTACTAAGTAGGTCAAAACTTATCAACAGTAATTTTAGTTACCATGTGACATTAACAAGGAATGAACATTTAAGCTTCGTCATAAACAAGATAAGACATGTAAATATGTATAATATTAATTCAGAACATACTGAAGGGAAGGAGTTTATAGGAATAACATTGTTTGTAGTGATTGTACGCAACTGAACTTGCATAAGAAATTCAGTCCAAACCAAAACACAACTTACCATCAAACTGTTATTTTTACGTTGAAAGGTAAGGTGTTGATCATATATTCTCACAACACCCTTGAGAACATCGTTACCACAGCCCTGAGGTAAGCAATGTAATATGGATTTACTTTGCATGCATTTGTCTCATACAAGTTTCTTATGGTTATTTTAATATTATAAAAATTCTTATAGCTTAAAAGTATAAGTAACTCTTAAAAATGTGTCTCAGTCCCAGTGAAACGATTTAAATTAGTTCAACAGGTTTATGTTTTTTTTTTTTTTTTTTTTTTTTTTTTTTTATCTGCATGTATATTCTTTCCAATAATACAATACTAATTTCATAACCCGAAAAAACAAAAGTACGTCAAAGAACACTTGTAATAATATATTTACAATTATAATGTTGACTACGACGTTAAATACATAAGATAATAAATTGTAATCGATTCTGATCGGACACTCCAATCATCATCAGACCCGCAAGGCAAATGAATTTGAAAAATATAAGAAATTAATTAGCCTTTTGGGTCTAATGATGATTGGAGTTTGCATTCGCAATCTACCACCACTTTTCATCTTTTATGTTTATTAACCGTCTTGTGAGTAAACAGTATAAGCGTAAATTTATTTTTATAAGTGTTATTAGACGTATATCTTTGTGTTTTTTGGGTAGTTTAAAAACAAGTACGATATTAATTAAGAAGGTATTCACTAAATGTATGGGTAGTGTTAAACTATTTCGATATTAAAGAAAATTTGTTAAGGCATTATTTAATTTTCAAACCAATATCTTCTGTATTGTATTGTATGGATGGGGATGTATTGTGAAGCCTATCATACGTAATATCACAGCTTAGTACAAGAGTACATAGAAATCTCAGTATTGAATTCTTTTGTGGAAGTCTCGTACATTGTTATTACTTTCGGAGCTGAAAATAATCTGTACTTACAGTTCAATATGTTTCGGAACGTATAAATCTATCTGTGTAGTACAATGTGTTGTGTTGATAAAATCATAAGTCGCAAGATAAAAATGTGTTTAAAAACACCGTTTGCTTTTTAATTAAAAGCTCAGAAACAACCAGATTGTGGGAAAATTCTATTTGATATACACTCAAAGAAAAACATATTTAATAACTAAATAAGAGCGTATTTTTTTTAAGGATGCAAATAGCTTATTGTTTCCCAATATTTATGACCTAATCATTTATAAATGGTTAAAAAACTAAGCAAATGTAGTTGAATTTGAAAAAATAACGATTAATCATTAATAAATATTTTTATCACACATTAGCGTTTTACGTTTCTTAATGTGTCAGCTGTATTAGTTATGGCAAAAATTACCATTAAAAGTGTCTTATTAGCAAATAATCGTGATTGGGACCTATAGGGATCTATCTTAATGAGTACCTAGAGCAAAAATGTAACTTTTCGTAATTAAATCTAGGAATTCAAGTCATTTAATTAATTTATTTACTTATAAAAAAAACTAAACATTTTTCAGAAAAACTACAATGATACCATCTATGGTAACAGTTATTCAGTCAACTACAGTAATTCAGACAATTGATTCAACCAAGCAGACGACAGGCACTGTTGAACCCTGGGGAAATTTGTAGAACTGTCCTTCAACTAAATAAATGTGGTAGCTGTGCTTAACTTTGATTTAACGAAACCACTTTTTTTTATTAAAGACCGTTTATACTGTGCAAAATAATATGTGTAAATCAAACGGATTATGTTGTAATGAAGAATGCATAATTTTAATGTAATTGTATTGTTTTAAAGTGCTAACAGAATACATCATTTTTACAAAATACTAGATTTTGTAAACCATAATTTAATAAGATTTCGAAATAATGATGACGTGGAATACTATTTTTTAATGTACAGATTAGGGTTAAAACGAACAAAGCCTAATAATAATATTTAATATATTATTAGAATTAAGTTATGCTGCTATTATATACCCAGCTGCTTAGAATTATTACATTTTGTCAGAAAATGATGTACAGTATCACATCATAATCTAACTAAGCGGAATATACTTCATATTAATGAAATATTCTTGCATAAAACCCTTGAAAAACAGTAAACTATTTCCCTTATACATTTCAAACTTGTTACCAACATCTATTAGTTCTAATTATAAACTTAGAATTCCGGGAAGGTTTTTAATCATATGAGGTTAAAAGAATTAACTTAAGTTAGTTATGCATTATAGTTAATTAACCGTTTGCAAATTTATCTTTTATACGTCAAAGTTTAAAGGACAATTAATTAATGAATAAGTGTTTGGTAACGTGTATTTTTTTTTATAAAAAAACCCTACTATTAAGAAATCTATAAGCATACCTATATTTTTATATCCAGAAATTTATTCTATTCAGCAACAATTTCTCTATAAACTTATTAAAACGCACGTGCATATAAATGTTAACATATTTGTCACTTTTCCTTATTCTAAAACAGTTTTTTTTTCATATTTATAAACGGCCTTGCTATAACAAATTAGTTGGGATTCAGTTGACGTAGGATGACAGTGTTTTTAATCAAGCTATTCAAATACACTTTCATTATGCTTATATGTTTTGAGTTTTCTGAAGTAATGAACCTAACTACTACACTACAGTGTTTATTCGCATTAATTTGGTTTGAGGATAACTGAGATTTGTTTACATAAAATGTTTATAAATAAATAAAAATACGTTTAATATGATAGTTTTCACCTTACTACTCTAAAACATAACAATAAACAATACTGTTCTAATATCATCATACATCCGTTATATATTCCTACCGACTAAAGGACTTAAAAATTACTCACAACATATACTTATAAGATACTTGATTGATTTTTTGACATATGTCCAATCATAATCAGCTGGTGTCAAAAGTTGATTACAGTTATTAAAGTACAGTAGCTCGTAATTAAACCTAATTTGATTGAGCAGGTGGAAAACAGATGTTTTCCTGAATAATTTGATGTGTGTAAGGTCTATCAAAACAATCTATTGTGGCGAAATTTATATATTTATATGACGGATAAGATATAAAATTTTACTTTGTTAGAAACCAACTACGATCAATTCCGAACAGTATCAAAATGTAATTGTATTAAAATGTGGTTTCACCTCTCTTTAGCAAAGTAGTGGCTAAGATTCACTTACTTCTCCCCGTAGACTGTAGACCAACCCACAAGAGCCGTATGATAATGTGATTTCGTCGTCCGTTAGTCCCCCACTAATGATCCTTGATTGTACAATGTTACACACAGGATATTAAATTACTACACAATCTATGATAAATCCTTAAAATTTGAATTTTAACTATTAATTACATTTCTATTTGATTTAATTGATCACACCCATGTATAATGTAAACTATCATCATATTTTATATTGATACAGTTCTTACAATTAATTTATTGCATAGTAAAAAACAACAACATAAAGTTTACAAGATACATGGTCGTTCATTTGTCCTTAACATTAACCTTTAAAATACATAATCGACATTTTTGATGGAATACTCTAATCGTGACGATTGAACTGATTAAAAATGTTACCGCTTGGTTTTTTAAAGGTTTTTTTTTCTTTGGGGACCCGTTTTCAAATTCTAAATCACGATTATTGACAACTATATAATGATCAACCAAATGGTTAGAGGCCCACCTTTGTGCATCCACTGAATCAGTAAAAATGTTGGGTTCCTCTGAAAATAATATATATTCTTTATTTTAAGAGAAGCTTTCTCTTTGCACAAACCCACTTAACTATATATTTTTAATAGTAGGTGATTTAGGATCGTTATATTCACAAACATTTTCCATTTGTTTTGAACAGTGTTTCCAATTTTCAATATTACAGGGTGTCCCGTAAGTAAACAGTCATACTTCAAAAAATGCAACAGCTTTTTTGTATTATATATTGTATTTTATAAATAAACATATTTTATCCGTTGGTTCAGCTGCACGGACTTTACTTAGCTTGGCATGTATTTTATGGTAGATGTTCAAAATTAACAGTTTAAATTATTTTGCTAATAAAACTCATGTTCTTTTCATTACATTTATTTTTAAACCAATAAACCAGCTGACCAAATTATTATTAAATTAGACTGAATCATTGTTCCATTGCATACTAAATATTCATTCAGCTTAAAATATTATACTATAACAAAACTATTTAACATTTCTCCGGGCCACAACATTTTAAACATTAAGTTTTACATATTTGTTGGTAGGTCTTCTGAAAATTCCTTTATTTAGTTCAGACGTCGACAATCTTGACTTTGCCACTTTTGCCAGGATAGGTAGCTTCTTTAACCTTTTGACAACATGCCTCTTGAATCTGTGTTCCTCGTCTCCTTGAGTATAGAAAGTTGCTTCTGAACTTGGTGAAGGTTACTAGTCTTGAAATCGTACTTTCCGTCCGGCTGACCAAAGAACTGTCTGTCCGTCTCAACCCATTTGTAAGCTTTCAAGAAGTCATTCAGCGTATTCTTAGCACTGCCAGAGTCTGACTTCAGTTTAGTGATCTTGTGCTGCAACTCTATCATTTTCCGCAGCATCTCACTTTCCTTCTCTAATGCTGCTTTGTCTTTCTGTGTTACTGTATTTTCATTGTTCACTTTTGACAAAATATTTTTCTGATCCATTACTTGCTTATGGAGCGTCTTAACATCTGTATGAGCTTGATTTGCTTGCCCGGTTTGTTCTTCAAGCTCTTTATTATTCAGTTGTTCATTGGTAGCCACACATTTTTCGATTTCTTGCTGTTCGTTTTCAATGCTCTTTACCAATTCTTCAATTTCTGACCTTGACGTTACAGACTCCTGCTCTTTTTCCTTCCACTTATTTCTGCTTTCCTCTGCCTTTTTCTGTAATAGTTTATTTTCTTGTTCTGCAGATTTTAATTCTTTTCCTCTTGGTTTTTTTACATCTTTTACTTTAGCTTCCAGCTGCTTAACCTTTTTTGAAAACTTCTTTTCTTTTTTCTTGCACTCACTGACTCTCATGAACAATTGTATCCTGGTCTTCGCCATTTCTACGTCTGCTTGTCTGATCTCTAGCCTTTGGTTCAGGGAGTAGTGCTTGTCAGCGTCCTTATGAATTGTCCAGATCTTCTGGTCGATGTTTGCATATTCTGTCTCAAGCTGGGACGAAGCCTTCTGACTCTCTGTGTACTCTAAAATTTTCATAAACACTGATCCTCCTCTTTTAGGTGCATCTTCAGATAACATTCCGCCAGGTTCAGCGAGGTTTCTGTCCAAAGTGATACATTTCTCCCTGCTACAGTTGTGGTATGTAATCTTGGTGGCAGTAGACATCTGGTCACACTCAGACACTTGACCAAAGATCCACTTTATCACTGGCTGACTTAACGCAGTACAGCACTTGCCTGTACCAACCAGGCTCTGAGCTGTATCGTAATCCTCCCTTAGACTATTCTCCAGTTTCTTCTCAGAATTGGTTTGATGGACATAAATTGAATAAGATGATGAGCAGACAGCTCCGAAATTCAATAATGCCATGCACCACTCTTCTACTCTTCCACTTTCTTTATTTACATCGTACTTTAGGAATTGCTTGCATTCTGTCAATGTATGGTCTTGTTTTTTGCAGCAAATACATATACGTTTTTTAAACTTCTTGTCACCTTCATGTTGTACTAATACAAAGTTCTTGGAGTTTGATTCATTTCTTGATGACATATTTTTAAAGTTTCCACTAGTAGATGTACTGGGAGTACATATAATTGCTGCATCCGCCACAGAAGAGAGCCACGTCGAAAAGCTGTCGAGGCCAATTGGTTGTTTCAATTGAGACTGTGGTGAAGTGACAAACATTCCCCAGTTGAGCTTCATGTTGGTGGACAGTTTTTCTGTGAGCTCTTCCATAAGTTGTGGGTTAAACAAGTAGTGGTCAGCTTCAAGGGTTTAACCGTAATTACTAAGTTCCTTACCATGTCACTAAAAGCCACCAAAGTGTCAGGCTTGTAGTCCTTAGTTGGTGGTCGACCTTTCACGCTTGCTATGAGATTTTTAATAATTATATCTGGTCTTCCGAAACGCCGTTCCAACAAATTAACAATTTCTGGTACGTTCTCAGGATATATCAACAGTGCTGATATAATTTCTTTAGCTTTTCCAGTAATACACTTCTGAAGTCTTTGAAGATTCTCCAAATCAGTGTAGTCATTAATTTCAGTAGATCGCCTGTATTCAGCTATCCAAGCGGGCCATTGGTCTAGATCTCCGCTGAAATTAGGTAGAGCTGACAATATTCTCGCCGGCATCTTCTCTCTAAATATCATTTTATCAGGTTGACAATCTCGAGGGAAACACGAAACATCTCGAGGAATTCTCCTTCCTTCGCTGAAAGCTACAGTCCTTGCTTCTCGAGGATTTTCACAGTTTTCTTCTCGAGGCTGGAAACTAGACTGTACTTCGTGATGCGGCAAGGATACCTCCTGCTGTACACTCTTCATAATATTTACTGGAACATTACTACAAGGCTTAAAAACGTTATTTTTATTAATGTCAGCTTTAGCTTGATCCTTTGTCTGCATCCACTTTTCAACAGCTTCCTTTGTGGGCAACGGTCGTGGAAGAGAAGAAATTGAAGTCCTAGATGATCTGCTACTGACTCTTGACGATCCCCTGCTAAGCGATGACAGTCTGTCTTCAAGTAGCTTCTTCTTCATTTCTATTTCCTTCCGCTTGGCTTCTTCCTCCACTCGGGCAAGTCTTTCATCAGCTGCTGCTATTTTTACTGCTGCCTCTGCCTCTGCTTTCTCCGCCGCCGCCTTTGCTTTAGCACATGATACAACAAGGGACGTTTCTTCTTCCTGTATCTTAATCAATTCGTCCATAACCTCTAAAACACTTTCATTCCTACTCCTACTTGAGCTAGTTTTATGAGATCTTACCGACAAAGGAATATGCTTATCACTTACTGCCTCATTATTTTTACCATCAAAATCTTGAGATTTTATAGCAGACTTCTTGACTTTGGACCTTGTAAATGCTCCAGTAGTCGACATTTAGTTGATTCGCAAAAGTTTCGGCACCAATGTTCAAAATTAACAGTTTAAATTATTTTGCTAATAAAACTCATGTTCTTTTCATTACATTTATTTTTAAACCAATAAACCAGCTGACCAAATTATTATTAAATTAGTCTGAATCATTGTTCCATTGCATACTAAATATTCATTCAGCTTAAAATATTATACTATAACAAAACTATTTAACAGTAGAAGAGACATATTTTACGCCAAAACATATGTGTTCCAATAAAAAATAATAAGGTGAACATTTAAATTTTTATATTTGTTTTTTTTTTTATGGGAGGTAAGCAAGCCAGTCTGCATCTGATTTAGCCTAGTTAAACATTAAAACAATCTTTACATTTTATTATTTTTTTGTTAAAGTTTAATGGAAAATTTTTAATGCTGAATCAAACTACTCTTAACATATTTTTGTCGTAAAATCTTGCTCAACATTGTTAATCTTTAATTGGTAAATGTTATTTTCTTTTGATAGGTCTACTTTACCTTAACATACATAAGTTACTATGTGTTAAAAATGCCGGGTGGGAAAATAAAACTATTTTTTTAAATACCCGAAAGCAGATATCTGGTTAATGAAATTGATTTGTAAAAAATATTGTACATGATTTTCTCTTTTTTTCTCGTGAGTCCATTTCCTAAATTTGACTTTTCACTAATGAAACGCCCTGTGTTTTACGTACCATTTAATGATTTTTTAAATGGACATGTTAAACGACTTTGATTTTGTTTCTTAGGATGAAGGTAACAGATCAAATTAATGCCAAGAGAATATGAAAAATATCATTCAAGAAACGCCATCCTGTGAAGCGCTTTTAAGGAATTAAAGAAATCAATATTAACGGAAGCCGTTTACGATTTAGACCTAGAACGATTTATAAAATTAAATGTAAACTTACCCAAAGACTACGATTTATTTATTCATATATACAAATCTGTGATCGTTATGTATTGACATGTATTTAATTTTTAACTACCAAATGATCTATGGCTATTCGGTTATTATTAAGTGAAGCCGCAACAATGTATTCAAGGGGTGATCAAAGATCATTAGTTTGAGTGCCATAATGAAGATTACTTTGGAAACCCATTATAGAGGGAGTATTAGAACGGTCTTAATTACTGAATGTGCCGTTATTGATGTGCCATTAGTTAAACGGAACTGCTTTTTAGCACTGATTGAAAATTCGAATAGTACCATAAATAGTTGCAAAAACTAATTAATATATATATCATGCTTGAATTAAATAAGGATTTATACGTTATGTACTTAAAAAAACTTTTCCAATCTGTACAACAAATATAACAGATTACTAAGTTGTTGTTGCAACGTTTATTTCATTGGTTCGAAATGCAGAACTAATTTTTGTATTTAATGGACCATAACTAATCCGATTAATTTTCGTGTTTGTTTTTTTTTTTTTGCAGATTGTATATATGTTTTTTTTTTTTTATTTACTAGTTTAGTCCATATAAATAATTCTATAATGTTACCACTTGACAATATAACTAAAAATACTTCTCCTATCTTTTACAGTGATCTACAAACAATTTACCACAATCATAATATAACTCTATTTACATGATTAAATCTTAAATCCTAATAATTGAACACCAGTACTGACTCATATACCTCTTTAGATGTACACTAAAGAGCAATAATTTGAAATTGAGGGGCAATTTGAAAGAATAAATACTAATTTGATCTAGTCCATGTAATTTGTTTCCTTAGATAACGGTTTATTAAAACTAACTACAAACTAAAATACAAGCCATTTTCAAATGCAGTTTTTCATTGTTTTCTGTAGTGGTTAAGGGGTTTGTTTATTAAAAATCGTGTTGTAAACATTTCATGTTTTGGTCGTAAGTAAATACCACGTTTACTCAGAGGATGCACCGATTTTGGGCTTTATTAATGCCTTATCGGTACTTTCCTGTTAAAGGGAACATTCATTACCATCGAAGATTTTTTCTCGATATATCGATATTTCGCAACTGATCTTGTGAAGGCTAAAATAGTCTATTATATGGATTAAGAAATTAAACTGTTCTAAGCTAAACTAACATAACCAACCAAACTTGCTGTACTATTTAAAAATTCCTTTTGATAACAGCAGAAAAGGCAAGTTAAACATGGAATGTTACACAGTAAGTTTGGTTAGTTATGTTAGGTTATTTTTTTTAGAACAGTTTCATTTCACTATTGTTTGTTAATACCTGACAATATTTATCGTAGTTGTCACCTGATAAGTTTCAATTTGTTAATATCGATATATCGAGAAAAAAATCATCGATAATAATGAATGTTTCCTTTAACAGGAAAGTACCGTCTTATCTTTAATAGATACATATATGATTGAAGAAACCTGCGTTTACACGGGCACGTTTAAAATTGTTTTACATACAATTTTCGAATCATAAGTATTAAATATGTTGTTGAAAACTTGAGTGTATGTAACATTGAATTGGATTTATATGTTATGTACTTTAAAAATGTATTTCCAATCTGTGAAACAAATATAACAGATTAAAAAATAAATCTTGCATATTGTTTCAGTAAAAAGCTTATTTGGTTTTATTTAATTAGTTTGAAATGCAGATTTTTAAACCCTACTTATTGAACACCAGTACTGATTCATATACCTCTTTTAATGTACACTGCAATTTGGAAGAATAAATACTAGTTTGGTCTAGTCTATGACATTTTTTTGGTTTCTAACTACAAACTAAAATACAATTAATTTTTAAATGCAGTTTTTCATTGTTTTCTGTAGTGGTTAAGGAATTTGTTTATTAAAAATCGTGTTGTAAACATTTCATGTTTTGGTCGTAAGTAAATCCCACGTTTACTCAGAGGATGCGCCAATTTTGGGCTTTATTAATGCCTTAGCTTTAATAGACAGAAATATATCATACATGATTGAAGAAACCTGCGTTTACACGGGCACGTTTAAAATTGTTTTACATACAGATTTCGAATCATAAGTATTAAATATGTTGTTGAAAACTGGAGTGTATATGTTGTTAAAACGTATAATCAATAAAGAAAAGATGCAAAGAACACTGCCTTTGTAATACAGATTCTTAGGATATAGGCCTAACAATTTTTTAAATAATTTTCTCCAGACCGATGTTAATAAGCAAATGAGCTTAGTATGAAAATGATCAGTGAATAACCGTTAAAAACTATAATACTAATTTATACAAGAGAGCTGTATTTTTCAGTAGTACAAACACACACACAAAGAATTAAAAAAACAAAGAAAATGTGTATAATCAATTAAAATTGCAGAACGTCTATCGCTCAAGGAACAAAAGCAGATAAGCGTTGTATGTATGAGTTTCTATGGATCGTTTAGATGCTTCCCAGATTCAATAGTGCTTTGTTTACTTACCGTGGAAGCACTTAAGACCATCTTAAGTGAAAGGGCGTTTGAGGGTTTTCCTCAATGAATGTTTTTATTGTATTTACTCGTATGTATTCTATGTTATGATTTTAGTAATGGACAATTATTTTAAGTAGCTTACTGTTCACTTTACAACATCTTTAAGTAAAAAGTAAAAATGTTATTGAAAAGAAAGGACGAGTCCAAATATTTTATTTTTGTATAAACGTTACTAGAATTAATTTAATAGATCAATTTAATTGATATATTTCATCAAAATAATGGTTTATTTACTTATAAACATTGCATTCGTAGCTATCACAATCAAGCTGTATATGTTTTATTGACAAACATTATCGTTTAAATTCATTACAAATCAAATCATAAAGACTAATTGTATTTGGTGCATTTGGCTTAACTGATTGAGCTGTACGTATCAAACAGATAAGTTTCATTCGTGACTCTATTCATTATTCATACAGTATTAAAAGTCTGTTCAAAAAGTACTAAATTTAGATTTTAGAAAAACATATATATCAAGAAATCAGTCCCGAACAAAAAATGTATAGAATTGCGAACAATTTATTTGTTACTTATTTTGTACATTTGCAACATACCAGAATATAAAATGGCAATACTTTGATAATATTTTTTCATTATCATTTTAGGCACAAAACTACTTTCTGCGATTCTAGATTTGTGTGTCCAACAGATGAGGTAAAATAGAAAACCATAAAATTCTAAGTAAAAATTAGGCTGAATAAAATTGGCTTAGTGAGATTTAGGTTTCAACTTTAAATACCTAAATACCTTAAATACCTACCTGAATTTGATTATACATTATGCATGAACTAGTTTTACATAACTAGTGTATTTTAATTATGAAAGTTCGACAGAATACTCTAGCTCAATATTAGCACTCTTGTATAATTGGGGAAGCAAGCTGATTTAGTGGTAGAGCTCGTGACTTCGGTGCCTGAGGTCTTAGGTTCAAATCCCATCATTTATAATGCATTTTATCAGAGCGACAAATCCATAACCCTCTAGGAATAGCCTAAATTAATCTGTAAACCAGTTCCAGGCATGACCTAGCGTTCTAGGATGTAGAGGTTTGACAATAAGAGATAAAATCATAAATAACGACATTAAGTAATTATACTATACACTTCTCAAACATATTTTATAGTTAAATCATCGATTTTAAGAGACACAGATCTTTCACAGTTTTTGTTTACAGATCTTTCATCTCGGCAAAATCCATATTATATTAGTGGTCTGCACGCCTGACAATTTAAATATTTTAAGTAAATCTTTCAAATAAACAACAAATACACACTTTTAACGTCATGAAAATTTGTTTCTCTTCCTGATGAGTAAAGAGCTATGATTGTGTGACCCAAATTGTTTAATCCCTTA